AAACCTCCTCTGAAGAAACCTGCCAAAAAAACTCCATGATAGGTTCACCTTTTAGGGTCGCCATAAGTTGGGAATGACTTGAAGAAATGCAGGAGCAGCAACAACAACAAAAGTCATAAGAGGAAAGGGGGCCTTGGAAATGTCTCATTCATAGAGTCAGGGATGACTCTAAGGCAGTTAACAACAACAACAATAACAACAAAGGCATTAATGATTCCTTTATGCTGCCTAAATCTAGTTGTTAGTCCAAGAGGAACAGACCTGCTGAATTGTAAAGCAAACATATGTAAATCTTATTAATTCAGCAGGCCTGCTCCAGATGGGATTAACAGCTACACCCAAAGAGTATAGAGACTGTAAATCAATTAATATGGATGTGGGCTGTGGGCCTTGAAGGCTAAAGCCCAGATAATCCTGTTTTCTCTTAGAGTGGCTTTTTATTTTATTTTATTTTTTCTGTTTTATATATTTCCATGTTTCTTAAAGGAAAATAAAGACGCTTTTGCATATATGAATGGAATCTTCTCTGTGGTCCAAAGAACAGGGCCAATACAGTCCAACTGTACCTATCCTAAGCACTAGAAGAGATAATAGAGGCAGTGTGGTGTAGTGGTTTGAGCGTTGGACTAGGGTTCTGGAGACCAGGTTTCGAATGCTGGCTCAGCCTTGTGAGTCCAATGGGCAAGTCACACTCTCTCAACTTCAGAGGATGGCAATGGCAAACCCCCTGTGAAGAAATTTGTCAAGAAAACCCCATAATAGGTTCCCCTTAGGGTCACCAGAAGTCAGAAACAAAATAAAAAAGAAGAGATAGACTGCATCTGGATTGCAGAATTATTGCATTTTGGGGGTAGACCACTTTAATTGCCATGGTTCAATGCTATGAAGTTCTGGGATGTGTAGTTTTGTGAGATAGTTCAAATCACGGTAGCCAGATTGATCACTGGTACATCTAGGAGTGTGCATATCACACCAATATTAAAATCACAGCACTGGCTTCCAGCTAGTTTTTGGGCAAAGTACAAAGTGTTGGTTTTACCTTCAAAGCCCTACATGGTTTGCGTCCAAGTTACCTAAAGGATCTCCTCCTCCCATATAATCTGGAGTGTATACTCAGGACCTCTGGGAAACATTTACTTCACTTGTTTCCAAACTTTGTCCTCCAGGTATTTTGGACTTCCAACTCCCAAAAGCCCCAGCCAGCATGGCCAACAGTCTGGAATTCTGGGAGCTGAAATCCAAAACTTTGTGGAGGACCAAAGTTTGTGGACCACTGATTGACTTCATCCAGCCAAGACTAGACTGACAACTGTCTCTAGATGAAATTTTAATCGGCCGCCTCCAGACTGTGGAATGACCTGCCAAGAGAGATTCGATAACTAAGCATGCTGTCTGAATTTAAAGCAGTATTAAAAACCTGTCTCATCTGGCAGGCCTACCCAGTTGATTTTAAACTATGAATTTAAAATTGGGATGTTTTAAAATTTATGTTTGATTATTTTAACGTGCCCTATGTTTATGTGCTTTAACTTAATTTGTTAAAATGGTTTTATGTATTTTAATCTGTTATACCTTGCCTAAAGCCTTGGGGGGAGACAAGAAATAAGTAAGAAATACAAATTTATTGTTGTATTGTTATTTAGCCTTCTCTGTCAGAGATCTCTGGTGTAACGACAAACTATAAATTCCAAGGATTACATAAGATGGGGCTAGGAAAGTCTTTAAAATGTTTTTATCAGCGAGACTAGGTTTCGAATCCCTGCTTGGCTATGGAAACCCAAGTGGGTGACCTTGGGCCAGTCACACTCTCTCCTCCTCAGAGGAAGGCAAAATCACACACCCCCAGAAGAAATCTTGCCAAGAAAACCCTTAAGGTCACCGTGCAAAGGGATCTTGTAGCACCTTTGAGACTGTGTTGTTGCTTGCATCTGAGGAAGTAGACCAATTTTACAAAAACTGATGCTACAACTTCTTCTACTACATAGTTAGTCTCAAAGGTGCTGCAAAATCCCTTTGCATATTGATTTTCCAGACGGACATGGCTCTGTCTCTGAATTCTACCCACATTGTCGATTAACCTATGGCAACCCCATTAATTTCCTGAAGTTTTCTGAGGTGAGGAATGTTCAGAGGTAGTTTTTAATTGCCTTCTTCTAAAATACAACCTACAGGAAGAGCTATTCCTTGGTGGCCCTCATGCAAGTACTAACCTGGTCTGA